TACTCAAGCTGCTAAGCCACCCAAGGGCCCTGAGATAAACATGCATTTTGTACATGAATTACAGACCCTGAACAAACATGGAGCTAATCTCCAAAGGCAAGGACCTGACCTTTGTGTAGGCAAATTTATCTTACAGCCTAAAGCTGTTCTACTGTTCACAGGAAATTAAAAAAAAAAACAAAAAAACGATATATTGATCCTCTCCAAATGTTGTTATAATCTGAGTTATTGTTACCATTTTACACATCCTACTAGGTGACCTTTGGTATTTTAGGATCCCTGGAAAAGATTTTACAGTGTAACTGTGCAGCTTGGGAAAGTTACTACTTCGCCTTAATTAAGGCATATTCTTGGAAGACCAAGGAAGGAGATCTGTCTAGCCTATTTCAGGGACTTCTCATAGCCTTCTGACACTTTTATGCACATTATTAGCTATTTTCTATGGTTTGCTTGTCCTTTCAGATTCCCAAAGTTAATTAGCCTTCAAGAAATACTTATTTAAGAAATTATGTAAGCCTTTTTTCACTTTAGAGCTTTTTAAGAAATTGTATAAGCCTTTTCACTTTAGAGCTTTATCTCTTAGGCAACGTAGAACATAGGAAACAAAAAATATTAAGACAAAAACCATGGAGTCATAGGTTTGATTTCCCCCCCACATGCCAAATTTGATGCTTTGATATCGTTTTTCAGTTGTAAAAAGAGAAGGCTTTGAATCTTGTAGTTCAAATTCAAGATTCTTGTAGAATCTTTTTGCTTCAGATAGTTCCAAAATATACTTATCTGGATTACATATTGTATGGCCACAATAAAGCAGTATTAGTTATCTGAAGAATGGGTTTCTGTTCATCTTAACGAGGGACCAAAATAATAAATAAATCACCTAAAATAACAGCCTTCGGTAAGTCCATATACAGTTGACCCTTGAACAACTATATGGTGCTGACCCCATGTGCTGTTGAAAATCTGCATATAACTCGGCTCTCCAAAAACTTAGCCAGAAGCCTTACTGATAACGCTCAACACATATTTTGTATATATATATTTTTAAAAAAATTTTTTATGTTTATTTTTGAGAGAGAGAGAGAGACTGAGCACAAGCAGGGGAGAGGCAGAGAGAGAGGGAAAAAGAATCAGAAGCAGGCTCTAGGCTCTGAGCTGGCTGTCAGCACAAGCACAGAGCCTGATGTGGGGCTAGAAGTCATGAACTGTGAGATCATGACCTGAACCAAAGTCAGAAGCTTAACTGAGCTGCCCAGGCGCCCCTGTATATATATTTTTATACTGTATTTTTTAAAGTTTGTTTTGAGAGAGGGAGCAGGTAGGGGTTGGGGAGGAGCAGAGAGAGAGAGAGAGAATGCCAAGCAGGTTCTACACGGTCAGCATGGAGCCCGATGTGGGGCTCAAACCCACAAACCATGAAATCATTACCTGAGCTGAAGTCGAGTAGGGTGCTTACCTGACCGAGCCCCTATTATATACTGTATTCTTATAATGAAGCTGGAGAAAAGAATTAAAATCCTAAAAATAAATTACACTGTACTCTATCAAAAAATATTCATGTCTAAGTGTACTCTCACTGTTCAACCTGTTTAAGAGTCAACTGTACTAGCATTCAAAGGCCCTATTTCTGAACATTTGACTCTTCCTAGAATTTTTTTTCTAGGCCGTAGTGAGAAATGGTAGCTGACAGACTGAACATCAAGAAACAACTGAATACAGAATAAGTAGATGACAAGAGTTGAACCGCTTAGTATAAGGTGTAAGGAGCCCTTGCCCTTATAGGTAAATGTTGACCTCAAATACATCACAGTATTACAGCATAGCCTGTAACAGAAGTAGTGCCTGTTCTAGGCCCACAAAACTGCTGAAAACAGGATAAAGACAGTTGTAGGATACAAAGTCTCTGTGAAGAAGCTGAATCATGTTTACCTCAGCCAAAACTCACAACAAATTCTATCCTTGGGTTTTACTCATTTATTTTTACATTATATTTTCAGGCAGTCTATTTAGGAAAGCCTTTGTAAAAGTTATTTCCCAAGTCCTATTTCAAGCCACGTCCTCATCCCTATAGCAAAATGTAAGCTTTTCTATTCTTGTGTTACTCCCCAGAGATTTCTGGCATTTGTATTTCTGCTTATATAGACAGGTTTCTCTGATCTCATGGTCTGTTCTGACCATACATTTGTTTAACGCAGAGCAGAGCTATGGAATTTGGAGTACAAAAATCTGAATCAAAATCATCTGCAGATGACTTACTTACCTCTCTCATTCTCTGATTATCTGCTAAATGAGCATACTATATATACCTCATAGGACTGATAGAATTGCGATGTAAATGCCCAGTAAATTTTCTTTCCTTTTTGCCTTCTTATAGTTTTATTTAAAGGAGACTGAATTTCAGCATCTGAAATTCAGAGAAATAAGTTAATCAAATAACTTACCTAAGTATGAAAAGATTGTAATCCATTTGTGTATTTGTAACAAGTAGAGAAAAAAGCAAACCATTGCAGACTATTTTAAGGACAAGCCAAATCTTACTTAACTCAATGCTACAAGTCTCCGTGCCATTAAAAAGGTAAACACTACACAGATACATTTATGGATGTTATTTATGGTAATGTTTCCTATATTCCTCACAGGGCCAAGATTAATTAGAAGCTGAGTCCCCTTATAGGCTACACCACCTCGCCGCTTCACGCACCTTCTGAAAACCTCACTCCCTGTTGTATTTGGTATAAATACCTCAATGTATCATGTGATTCTCGGTGCTTAACTGTCATTTGGGACAGTCTTTTGGATTGCTTGGTAGTTACTTCTAACAGAGATACTATGGCCTCAACCAAGAGCTACTGAATCAGAATTTGTAAGTGAGGAGGTGTAAGAAGCTGTACTTACAATTAAGTCTCCAGTGTTTTAGGGAGCAAGGAGGTTGGAGACACACAGTTGCTCGAGCCCCTCATCTTCCGTTACTCCTTTCTCCTCACTCCACGTCCCATCTATCAGGAAACTTTACTGCCTCCATCTTGGTGAAAGCTTTGCTGGATTGCCACGGTCTCTCTCCAGGACCACTAGAGTAAACTAACAGTCCTTCCCATCAACTCTTTTGTCCTTCATTCAAGCTGTTTTCCACCAGCTGCAAAAGGAGTGTTCTTAAAATGTAAATCCCAAAGGTAAGGCAATTAGATCTTTAAGAATAACTACAATGGATTGAAACTAACCACATTAAAATTCATTAATGCATAATGATGTTTAGAACATAATTCCCCCAAAATCACATTGGTTACCTTTGGAGGATACCAGGGAACCAGTTCCTTATTTTGTATACACATCTTCCTCAATTTATGACGGGGTTACATCTCAATAATCTCCCCCAATGCAGAGATCCTTGGATTTAGGTGTATTTTGAGAAGAGCTACCATAGCACCCGATACATGGAGGCGCTTAAAATCTTTGGTAGTGCTTTGTATACTGGAAGATTATAGCAATTCATTCTCCACCAATCCAAATAATTATATCTTCAGAAATCACTTATGTAATATTTTACAATTTTAGGTAAATCTTTAGGTTCTTCTGGGGCTCTCCTGTAGCCAGCCTCTAAGGTGGCCCCCCCACATTCCTGCCTCCAGGATTCCATGCCCCGCTATTCATTCACACCCATATTGAACAGGGCTAGCCTGTGTAACCCACAGGATATTATGAAAATAAAGAATGGCAACCTTGGTTGATTAGGTCATAAAAGCCACTGCAGTTTCTGCCCAATTAACTCTCTCAAGTTTCTTCTCATCATGGTCTTTTCTCCTCCCCTCCTCTCCCCAATAGAATGATCTCTGATTACTCACATTGGTTTTAAAAGGTCATCTTGGGGTGCCTGGGTGGCTTGATCGGTTAAGTGTCCGACTTCAGCTCAGGTCATGATCTCACGGTTGTGGGTTCGAGTCCCACACTGGGCTCTGGTGAAAGCTCGGGTCTGAAGCCTGTTTCAGATTGAGTGTCTCCCTCTCACTGCCCCTCCCCCACTCATGCTCACTCTCTCAAAAATAAACATTGAAAAAAATTAAAGGTCATTTTGGAATCTGCCCTTCCCTGACTTGCCACATCCTTGCAGCCTAGAATCATCTGTACATTTAATAAATATCCTTTATACTTCTACCATTTTAATTCCTGGATAATAATACTAGAAGACACCAGTTCCAGTACTAACAGTCTGAATGATTATCAAATATGTTCAGAGACTGACAATGAACCTATGTAGACTTTAACGTTTTATTTTCTAAAATGTGAGTACTCAACTGAATATGGAGATATAATGTGGGTGACTGACAAATTTGATCTCACTTTCCTTCATTAATTACACCCATTACCGTCACTGGAGAACATGCAATTTTAATATTTCTAGAAATATAGAAACCAATTCCAGTGTCAAGTGTTACACTGGTTTTTAAAACACTGACAAATTCTAAAAATATGAAAAACTACTTTTTTTCAAGGGGAGCGGGAATCCTTTAATTAGACAACCAGGATATGGCAATAAGTCTTTATTTCATACAGGGTGCTGCTGCAGGTAACCATCAGAGAACACACGGCTGTTTACAGATACACAGAACGGAACACAAGTGTTTTTGCATGCTGTAAACTGTACACAGGAAAACTGGTGACTTCAGACACTACAATTAGGAAATAAAATGGGTTAACGCCATCTGTTGATAGGTTTATGAGTCACTCAGCAGTGTTCTAGGCTGTCTTTGCCTGAAAGCACGATTACAATCGCTTTGGTGGCCTCTGGGCAATTCTAAAATGCGGGTCTAGTCAAAGGTACAACAAGCAAGCAAGAGATAGATACCCCATCCCATTCTCAGGGAGACCTACTGAGAGCCTGCCTTGGCACGTTTTTTTTTTTTGTTTTTTTTTTTTTTTTTTTAGAGTCGATACAGCCATTTTAATAGTTTTCCCTTACCACCTGTGTTGGCAGTCAGCAAAACTAATTTCTGACCCATGTGCCGAATAAGCCTAGGGTTAAAAAGCAGAACGCTGTCCACATAGCTGAACTGCTATTTCACAACTTTTGCCCCGTTCTCACCCGTTGTCCTGCAAAATCCCCTCATCTGATGCATCTTAATTTTAGCAAAGCTTCTAGCAACTGTAACAGACCTTTCTTAACCCAGCTCTAGATACTAAGTATCCAAAACAAGTGCCTGTGAAATGGATGTGTCCATGGGAAAAAGGCAGCGTTTTTACTGGAGGTAAGTGTCAAGTTTCCTCTTGATGTTGTCAAAGGAATCTGCTCCCATGTAATCGGCCTGGCCCTGTTCCCACCGCTCCTTCCGTTCTTCTGAGGACACAAAAGGCTGTGCTGTGGCCGGGATCTCCCCAAGGGACAGATGTGATACAGCTCCCGAGACACCTTCCTAAAAAGGAGAGCATCATCAGACTCCTTGAGGTCTGAAAGCCAGACTGCTTTAAAGAACGCAGGAAGTTGAAGGTGAGAAAAGCCAGGATGAATTATCATGCAAAGTAGCAAAAACTGAAAAGTATTACATGAAACAAACAAACAAACAAGACACAGAAATACAAGGGTTGTATGATTTTTTTTTCCTAACGAAATGAAGACTTCTGGACTCAGTGAAAACATTGGGAAAACAAAGTAATTAGGGTTAATGTTTAAGTTCTGCATACCTTTCTACAGAAGCCACAAGAGAAAGCCAGTGTATAGACCAAGTCTGAAAGCTGCAAACAGTTCATTAGAAAGCGTAAGATGGATGGACAAGGGAACACAAGTCTCACGATAAATTCTCGATTTGTGTGGGCTCTGAAAGGTTGAGAACTTAAACAAAATGATACCTCAGAGTAAGCTTCAGAAAGAACCTAACCAGAGAGCCGCACCATGTAAGTTGTCACGTTATAAACGTGAGCGCTAAGTGGCTTGAGACTATGCACCAAACGTCTGTGCCTGTTCAAGCTTATTATCAAGTAGCATCTTATCTTGTAGCTTGTGTTAATTCGCTTAATCTGGAACAATTCTCATCGCTTTTCCTTGGTTCATACTTCTCAGTCCTTGGGTTGTGGAAGGTATAGGGTAAATGTTCAGGAAATGGAGCAAACCTACTCTACATGACATTAAGATTCTCATGACTTAAAGAAAGGCAGTTGACTTTAAGTGTACAATGAAAGATTATCAGAGCTATTCTTCAAAAAGCTCTGAGGTGAGAACTAACAGAAAAAGGAAGGCGAATGAATACATACAAGGCGCTGCTTTTAACAGAGAAAATGGTAGAACAAAATTTTTGATTGCTGGTTCTTGTTGCTAGATATAGGTGAGTGTATATGTAGGTGTTTATATATACTGGAACTCCCAGGTACTGGGGCAGATTCCACGGGATTATTTTATAGCTGAAGCAACAGAAGTCCTTACCCTAGATGAGCCCTGCCTTTGCTTCCACTCACAATGGGAATGATACAGGGAGGTTCTTCCATAATTCTCTACTTTGTATTTTTCAGAAGATAACAGTCTTGGAGACCTAGATTTGAGTCCCAGTTCTGCTTCTGGTGAGTATGTTATATAACCAACAGAAGGTATTTAGCTTCTTTAGACCTCAGTTAATTTTAATATACAAAAAGGGCATAGTAACAATAATACTTGATAGAGTAGTTGTAAGGATTCTATAATAATAGCTAACTTTCCTTAAGCACTATGTGCCAGGCAACATTCCAAGTACTGTAAAAGTATTATTTCATGGTTCATATAAAGCAATTAGAGTAATAATGTTAGTGGTATTTATTTTTCCCTTTCTCCATTTTATATATTGGTACAGGGGCTAATAAGTAAAATGGCTAAAATCTCTTCTGTGGCAAATAAAAGGATCTCTTACAACCTATTATAACCTCTTATAATTATAGCAAGGTAATTAACTGATTAGTTAGACTCAATTACAATTTACTCATTCAATTCTATTCTTTATATCTTAGTTGCATAGCATAAAAGTATAATTTCTCATCCTCTTCTAATTTTTCCAAAAGAATAAACCTCAGAGGAAGACCTTTAAAGTCAGAAACAAGGTTAAGCAGTTCGTTGTTTTAAATGTTAATATCATCTTCTTACAAGATTTCTTTTTCAAGATCCTATCTAACCATAAGAGCACAAACACAGCAAACCAACATAATCCTAAAAAAGTATCTGTTGTTGCATGTTCATGTTATTGTGATGTTCACTGAAAATACATTCTTCTAAGCAGATGAAAAAAATAAAATACATATATTTAAATGTTTATGGTTTCTTTGGAAAAGTGTCTATTCATCTAAAACATGAAAGAGGGCACTCTCTATACGTTAGGAATAGTCTTAGAACCTTAGGATAATGAGCTAAGAATTCTATAGATATTATATATGGATATATATATACATACACACAGACACATACATATACATATATATAAAAGCCTCTAAAACCCTTTCTTATGCTTTCAGAGCTAATGAAATTTGCCACAAAATCTACTACTTTAGTCTTTGCTGGCCCTGTTTCTCCCCTCTAAAATAGAAAATTTTTTTCTACAGAAGTTCTTTTTATTTACTTATTTAAATTTAAATTCAAATTAGTTAACATACAGTATAGTACTGGCTTCAGGAGTAGAACCCAGTGATTCATCACTTACACATAACACCCAGTGCTCATTCCAAATAGTGTCCTCCTTAATGCCCAGGACCCATTTAGCCCACCCCCTCCACTAATTTCCCCTCCAGCAAACCCTCAGTTTGTTCTCTATTTAAGAGTCTCTTATGGCAAAATACCACTAAATATTCTACCTCTACCAGTATACAACTTTAAAAAACTACAGCATTAAATTGCCTGAAAGGAAAAAACAGAACCTACCACATTTAAGTACGAGTGGGGGTCTTTAACAAGGCCAAATTGTTGAAGCAGAGGTAAAACGTTGGTGGTGAAGATGTCCCACCACAGGTTGAGAAACTCTGGATGAGTCATGGTGGGATCATGGGACTCGCTTTTGACATTTTTTGTTTTAGGATCGTAAGTATAATTCCATGGTTTGATTCGCCCCAGGAAATGCACAACTTTTGCATTTGCACCAAATCTGCCAAGAGAACACAAGCCGAACCCATTAGTGGATTCTGAGCACTGACACAAAGATGAATGGCACTTTGTTCTGTAGCCTGAACATTGCACCTTCCACCTTACAGTAATGGTTGGAAAAGAGCTTAAGCTCACAAACTTTTAGACATACTTTTTAAATTATTCAACTGTATGTTAAATACACATGAAAATCTAAAAGTAGTGGCGGATCAGCGCAAAAACCAACACACCAATCCACTGCAGAAAAGGTACAACACTTGGAAAACCATTTGGAATTTGCTGGTAACACTGGCAACACTCGCGACCCCGATCTGGAAGCTCAGGTCTTAGGCACACATCCTAAAGCAGGTGTGCCACAGGAGACGTAATCAAAATGTGCATGGCAGCAGCACTGTTTGATGTAGTCATCACTGGAAACAACCCAGGCGGCCTTATCTTAGTAGGTTAAGATTGTTCGGCAAGTGTTCACTCCCTTTCCCAATCTCCACAGGGGGAGTGAGTTTCCTGCCTCACTGATAATTGGGCATGCACAAAGCACTTGCCTTTGGTGAAGAAATGGGAGCAGATGTGACACTGCCTTCTAAAAAAAAGCCCTGCTCATTTCTGTTCCTTCTCTCTGATGAAGCTGTGACCTCCTCCGGCAGAAGAACAGAGAAGACTCATGGAGCAGATCTGGATCAAACTTGTGGCCTGGCATTCATCACAAGCCCCGCTGTGATGATCAGAGCTGCCTCAGCCCATCCACCAACATATGAGCAAAAAATATATACTTACTGTTGAATGTCACTGAGATTTTATGGTTATTTGTCCATTTTATCTTTTATTTTTTAAATGTTCATTTATTTTCGAGAGAGAGACAGAGTGCAAGTGGGGGAGGGGCAGAGAGAGAGGGAGACACAGAATCTGAAGTAGGTTCCAGGCTATAAGCTGTCAGCACAGAGCTCAATGCAGGGCTCAAACCCACAAACTGCGAAATCATGACCTGAGCCAAAGTCGGACACATAACCGACCAATCCACCCCATTTAAACTTTTTAAAGGACAACTTGTGGTATATTCAGATGATGGAATATAATATAGCAGTGAAAATAAATTATAGTTCCACTTATTTAGCAAATGGATAAATTTTTAAAATATGAAAACTACAAATTCAAACAAACACATAATGCAAAACAAAGTACTGCTTAAAGAGTAGAAAACTGATCAATGTAAGTGTCATGACGTTGGTTATCTCTGGGGGAAAGGGAAGCATGATGGGAAACACACGCACAAGGGCTTCTGAGGTACTGGTTATAGTCTATTTTTTAACTTGCATTTAAAAAAACACAATTTTTATGTATACCCTTTTGTGTATACACTGCATCTCACAATAGTATCTTAAAAAGACTAAGAGTTAAGATGGTCCTGTTCTGGCGGAGAGGAAATCTATGCATATAAAACCAAATAATAAAGGTGAATATAACACGTGCCAAAAGAAAGCTGGGACCAGTGAGAGCTCCGGGAATGCAGAGGCAGGGAGGTGGTGACAGTAGGCTCAGTGGGGCAGAGACTGAAAACTGTACCGCAGACCGGGGCTGGGTAGCTGGCAAGAATACGAAGAATTCTAGGCAGGGGGATAGCAAGTATCAGGTGAGCATGTGTGTGTCAGACTGAGGGTCCTCCCAGCGGAGCCAAAGAGCAAACTTCGCTCAGAAAGTAAGAATGGGACAGGTCCTTGGGTGTTGGGCTCAAGTGTCGGATTTTAGTGGATTTATCCTATAGGTGACCAAAGTAGCTGAGCATGATGTATAGACTGAAATAATGCAAACTCTATTCGTGTAATTTTTCCGATCTTAAAAAAAAATTTGTTTTAATGCCAGAGACCTATTATATAGCTATCACTATCTGAGAGTTTCCTACGTTTGGGGCCCAAATTCTTTTAGGGACATGATGGGGAATAATAACAGGCTAGCATGGTAGACCTTACTTGTGTGTTAACAGGGGCTCTTAGAGGCCAGTGAGTTGCCCATAGCCCTACAGCTAATAAGTGGCAGAAAAAGGATTTGGCACAGTTCTGCCTCTTTCTTAAGCCTGTCCTCCTACCAATCCTACCGTGTGACCACTCCAAAACTGGGAAAAATAGAGCCTATCGTAAATTTCCTCAGCTCATTTCTTCTGAAAACGCAGTAGATACTTGGTATCCCCAAGTTTACTCTTAATTTTATATTTTACACATACATGCACATATGCACATACCCACAGGTGGACACACACATGCATACAAATACTCTCAATTTTATCCTTAAAAGGACAGAAGTCATAATGCTCAAAATTTGTGCAGACAGGACTATTAACTAAATATGCATCTGTTACGCATAAGACACTATGCTCCGTGCATGACCTCAAAAGATTTCCGTCCCAACAGGGAGAGGGGTCATCGAACAGAAGAAACAAGAGCACAAACGAGGCAACGTATCCGGGCTAGCAGGGCAATGCTGACATTAGGGGCTATGGAAATGACAAAGCAGTTAGTGCAGGTAGGGATTTTCAGAAGAGGCTTTGCAGGAAGTGGGGCCCAGAGGAGACCCGGGCAAGATGGCACGGTTAAAATAACAGCCTTTGACCAATGTTCTGATGGTGATGGGAGAGCCCAGCCCTGAGGCCCGACGCTTGGTACAATGTCGGGGGCGGGGGGGGGGGGAGGGGAGCGGGCATTGCCCCATCTATAACACAAACACGCCTAAAACCCGAAGAGAGCACATGTGAAAGAGCAGGCGTTGCTTCTGCCTTCTCACACATCCCCTCCTTCCGACTCATCTTGCCTGGAGCAGGTAGGAGTACTTGAGTCTCCTTCTAGAGTAACTGGCCATGAACTTCAATCCATGGTTTTGCCTAGACCTAATATGAATGTCACACAGTCATTATGTGAGAGGTAACAATACTACCTAAAATATATTAAACTATTCCCTTCTAACTTGCTCTCCGGACAGTCTGCAATAGATCAGGCAGGAGAAATGGTAACAGCTACCACATATGGAGTCCTCACATGTACCAGACATTGGTTAACATCTGCATGGTTTATCTCATTTAATCTCCAAAACAACTATGTGAGGAAACCAAGGCATGAAGTAATCCCTGTCTAGGATCCCATGGCTGGTAAGTGACCAGGCTGGGATCCCACCCAGGAGGTCTGGTTCTAGAGCCAAGGTTCTTAACCACAAGTAGGCTGTTACTGAAAGACACTCCCAGAATTAGAAGGACGTCATCTGAGTGACATGTGTTACTTCAGGAATTCCCTGCCTACAGATGGTCTGTCTGAAAGATGGAAAGGACATGGTTAGTGAACCCTAGAAATACTCCAAACATAGTCAAAGACAGAGCAAAGTTACTAACAGGAAAGAAAGCTACAAAGCAAGCAACTTAGTACTGCCTAAGACAGACGGTCCCCAGATGGGTTCAGTTTGCACAAAGGTCAGGGAAGGTTGGCTGGAACAGGAACAAGGAATGGACAGTGGTGTGCTCAGGACCAGCAGCCAATCCCCAGGTGGACTGTGGCAGACAGTGTCTAAGGGCCACCTCAGCTCCTCTCTGCCACCTCACTCCGTGAACTGGGCCTTTAAAGCTCATGCGGAGGCAGGGCCTGGTGGCCCAGAGCAGTGCAGCAGTTGGCAAACGCCTCCCAGTGCAACTGGCTTGGAGGCAGGAGTCTACGCTTCTGCCTCTGGCTCTGTCTGTGCCCCTCCATGGTTCAGGGGCCTCTGCGAACTGCCTGGAGACTGGACTTTATGCTGGTTAGATCCTAACCGATGTGGCTCATGGCCTTCCCCTTGCAGGTCAACAGAAACCCCATTTGGGGACAGTCTACACTCTGCACTTCACTGTGGCTCAGGCCTGGGCTCCACCTTCATGAAGCCGTGATTCCTGAGTGTCTTTCATGTGAAATCATGGATACCCTCTGTGGCTAGAGGAAGGATCCCCCTTCCTCAAAATTACCTTCTTTATTCTATCCTAACACCATGAAAAAAACTGTATCCACTGGACAGTCTTTTCATAGGGCAGTCTTAGTTTGAAGAAAGGCCTTCATAAGCCTGTCTGAGGTAGAATAGGAGATCATAATGGGTCCTAAATATGGGTGGAACTGCATTTTGTGCCCAAAGGCGAGGGACTCCTTGGTGCCGGTAAGATGAGGGGGACGAACAAGAAGGGAGCAGGATTGTTGAAGTGTGATGTAACCACCCAACAGCGGTTCCACATTTCAGGAAAAAAAAGAATCAGAAAATGCACGATGTGAATAGGTTTTTATTGTAGCCCAGGGGTACCAAGGGACAGACCAAAAAAGTGCTCATGGGGATTCAGGAGGGTTATGACCAAAGATGCAGGGGAGAGGAAGTAAGAAAGATGCTGGGGCACACAGGAGTCACGCACAGGCTCCAGAGGTCAGGAGTTCAGGCCACGACTGGCCCTACTTCTGGATGCTAAAGAACAAGAACTCTTTTTCAGGCACTGAGGTATTTCTTTAACCTAACTGCCACACACCAAAGAGATCTATGGACATGAGTAGGGGTAGGAGAAAAACAAGTTTTAGAGCAAGGATTCTTTATGAGAAGTGCAGGCCTGGGCGAGTCACTGAATGTGGAAGGTTCTGGCCAGCCCACGGGCCCTATGAGGGTGGGCCGATGGGGGCAGGGTACAACGTAAGGCAGCTGCTGAGTGGGAGACATGGGGCTCTGATAGGAGGTGGGAGCAAAGTGCAGACAGCCCTGCAGTTGGACAGAAGATAGTCGTACAGAGCGCTGGTCCTGGAATCCACCAGCTCTGCCCTTGACTTGATAGAGGGGGGCTGTTAGACCTAACCCAGGCCACTTTACAGGATGGTTTGTGAGTTGTATCGGTAAAACTATCTGTGCTCTAGCTGTACAAAAAAGAACAGGATTTATTTATACAGCAAAGCAGCCTCAAAGGCTCGCTCTATTAACTTTAATAAAACACTTTGTTTGCCAAACAAGAGAGCAAAAGGTCCGAAA